AGTAGTTCGAGAAAAAAAAAAAAAAAAAAAAAAAAAGGGAGCTCTAGCATTGGAAATAACTTCATGGTTTGAGGGATTGTCATCCCATCGTCGAGCTATCGTGCAAAAAAATGAACATCTCGTATCCTGCAAAATGCAAGAATATCGGTTCTGCAGATGCTCACTCGAGGGTCAGACTCGCTCGATCGTTCGAATCGGCCGACGTCGAAAAGACGGCCGCTGCTTCGCGGCAGCGCCTGCAGGGCCCTCGTGGCCGTTTCCTTCGCGGAATCTCGTTGGATTCGCGTCCGATTTGACCGTCGTGCGCGTCGGGGTCGCCGGGGTTGCCGGGGCGACTCTTCCTCCGAGTGAGCGTGCGGCAGCGCGAGTGGGATCACGTCGTCGCTTCGTCGGGATGCGGCGTGTACGCGCGTGCGAGCGTGTGTGCGTGTGTGTGTGTGTGTGCAGCGGTAGGCCCCTGTCGGACCCCTCGTTAATGCCGGCGGCCCCCGTGAAACCCCCCTCCCTGGATCTCATCCCCCGAGGGCATATCTGGAAACTGAGAATCCTCTTCGAGGAGAAGAGCCTCAGGCACCGAAAGCCCCCGTCCCTTCACCCGCAGGCGCCGCTGCTCGCAGTCTACGGGTGAGCCTCAGCCGGTCGTCTGGTTGCATTGCGTCTGCACTCGTTCGGTTTCGCCCGGTCGTTTTTTTTTTTTCTCGGTCTCGAGGGTTTTTTTGTGTGTGTGTGTGGGTGAACTTAGTCTCGGCATGTCGTGTCGGTAGCATGAGCTTAGATTAGTCGGATTGAGTTTTTTCCGTTTTTGTTCGTTTCGTAGTGGTGAGCGTAGCGGTTGCATCTGTGAATAACTGCGAGATCTGTACTCGAGGGAGAAGCGCTCGAGCGTTTTTGTTTTTTTCGAGAGAGGTGTTTCTCGAGATCCGTGTCGTGCCGGTTCTTATTTTGGGATTGCGGAATAACCCTAACCGAAACCGGGGAGAGCTTGCATGAGACGGATTCCCATGGGAGCGCTCGAAAACGGCAGGTCCGGCCGGCCGCTCGAGAGTCCCTGAGTGGGACTCTCGAGCGATCAGATTTTTTTTTTTTTTTGAAGATGGTGATAAATTTTATCTGCTGTGCAAACTTCTCAAAATAGAAAAAGATAGAGCTCAGGAATGCAGCTGGGAAAAAAATTTTTTTTTTCCCGATGGTCCTCGTCCGAGCATCAGTGAGAAGGGTGCGGATTAAATGCGGATTTGGAAAATGTGGGAGCGCGAGATGAGCTCGTTCCGTCGTTTCGTGGGTCGGTGTGTGGATTTTTGCTGTTGCCGAAATGTAGCATTTTCTTTGGGAATGGTTTCCAAGACATTTTGCTGGCGGTGAGGTTGTGTTTTGTGAACGTTTCGTTTTCTGCCGAGGGTCCTTTCCACGCGAATTTGTCTGCGTGAGGTTGGATTTTCTTTGGTGTGTTAGCTGCTAACCGTTGGACTCCTCACGGTCTCGGTCGGGCGAAGTCGCGTTGGGCGGTGCCATTTCCAGTTTTGCGGCTGGGAGATAGGATCGGTTAAGTGGTTCCTCCGGGTGGAGAGCGTCGAGGCCTTCAGGTTTGAGTGGGTGTTCGGCAGTCGTGGCATGGTTGGGCGAGACTCAGACAGTAATGTAGGTTGGGCATTCCCATTCCAGCGAGTTTCGGTTGCACGACAGCAGTGCGAATGAAGTCTGTTGGATTTTTCGTATTCTGTCTGTGGGCGGCCTTTCGCCATGCATAGGGGGATTTTTTGGCCGTTTCGGGACCATTGGATTCATGCAACATCATCGGTTGGCATATTTATCTCCCTGTAATTTGTCGGTGATGGCAAAGAAGACGACCCATCCATTAATCATCTTAGAGAGGCGCGTACTGCAATTACTTGACGTTTTTGGGTGCAGCTATGTTGGAGTATGAGCTGCTACACTACGGGTCAAGGACGATGCAGAGTCCATCAGAGCGCGGAAGTGTGAGATGTGAATGCGTTGGTGTGAAGGAAGGTGGATCCGGTGGGATTTGGTGTGAGGCGGTGGTGCTTGTGGCGTGACGCGGGAGCTGGAGTTGTAGGTGTAGGTGGGGCTTTGCTCCATTTTCGTTGTTGAGGTTTTGGGTTTGGTTGGGTCCGGTGGGGAGCTTGATGCGTGTCAGGGTTTTGCTTTGTGGCTTCCGGGTTTTTGGGGTGGGGGTCGTCTGAGATTCGCGTTATTCTGGTTTGTTTTGGGCCTCCTGGGACCGGAGATCGGTTTCCGTTAGGTCTTCAGCGAGTCTTTGGGATTTTCTACGAGGGGTCTTTAAATGCCGCCGGAGGTTGCTCGTGACGATCCATGGGAATCGTGGGATTGAGTATGCCGACTAGAGCATGCATAGTTTTTGAAACGGCATCCGAATCGTCCCAACAGAATGGACTAGCCGTGTGTATTTTATAGTCCAAAAGGCCGAACGGGCGAGGTTCATCGGAATCTGAACGGTCTCGTGATCTCTGTTCGCAGTGGGCCGGAGAGCGTGCAGCCTCAGAATCATGGGGCTCCCTCGCAGGGGATGCTGCGGCTCCGTGCCCTATTCGGGGAGAAGTCCCACGGTCACTCGGGGAGCCTGGACTCCTCGCTGCCCCGTCCGGCCGCAGTCTTCCCCTTTCCCATGCTGGAACTCACTCGAGAGGGGTATCTTCATCTCAAGACTGTGATAATTGATGGCAAGGTCTGTTTCGTTTTGGTCGGGTTTGAAAGAAAGGGTCGGTGTTGTCTCTATCCGGCTGTGATGCTGTTGCCCCTTCTTCGCCTTCACCGGTCCTTCAAAGTATCCACCCTGTGGTTGCTCCCACCGACCCAAGAGGTGAAGTCACTTCTGGAAGGCATCAGCATCTGCTTTGGGTATCCTCTGCAGCCCTGAATGAACAGCTTTGCACAGATCTTGGATGCGACACAAGGCTTTGTCCAGCCAGTCGTTCAACAAGATAAGGATACGGCCAGAAGTCACATTGGGCTGGATGTGGACTATGGCTCCCATAGCTCGTAACTAGTCCCTTGGGACTTCTGGCTGTTTCATTATCTCGTGGAATAGTTGGCTGGACCAACCTTCAGTCTCATCCAAGATCAAGAACTCACTCGAGAGGGGCATCTTTATCTCTTTAGCTCTGCTACTCTGGTATCCTCTGCAGCTCTGAATGAACACCCTTGGATAGATCTTGGATGTGACTCGAGGGTTTGTCCAGCCAATTGTTCAACAAGATAAGGAAACAGCCAGAAGTCCCAAGGGACTAGATGTGTGCTATGGCTCCCATAGCTCAGAAATAGACCCTTGGGACTTGTGGCTGTTTCCTTATCTTGTTGAATAGCTGACTGGATCATCCTTCAGTCACATCCAAGATCTGTCCAAAGCTGTTAATTCAGAACTGCAGTGGCTACTCAAAGCAGATGCTGACACCTTCCAGAAGCGGCTTCACCACTTGGGTCGGTGTGTGTAATCACAGGGTGAATACTTTGAAGGGTTAAAGTATTAACATTTTGCAACTTCCACGTATGCTTTCGGTAATATCATAGTTTCAAGAACTTTTTGAATACCCTTTGTAATTTCTTTTTTTGCTTGCCCTGAGTTTACTCTTTGTTGGTTGAATTTTCCTTTCTGGAATGGAAATGCAAAACCCCAGCTGGGTCAAAGTCTTTCCCTCAGGCCATTTCTGACATGATCTCCGGNGCGCGATCCGCGTTCCAGAGGCTGTGACGCTTCCAGATGTTCCCTCCCGGCCACAATGGGTCTTTCACCCGTACCACCGAGCGTAAGGAAGCTCTGACTGTTTCATCAGCTCGGTTCAATGTATCCGTTTTCAGCGATTCCAATCGATGGAGTGTCTTCTCTCTTGTGTGGCTTTTCCTGTCGTTTTCGCTTCGACATTCTCGTTTCGACTTTTTCGCTGGTCGAGTACCATTAATCTTGTACGGTGAATTATTTCGTGGATGTGGGAAAGAGTACCCGATGGTCTTACCGAACGTTTGCTTGGCTGTGGTCTTAAACTCATCGGAGAGGAAGTGCTGCGCCTGTCACGATCCCCGATTCGTGATCACGAAACAGGATATTATAATGATATTAGTGGTATATTCATGATTATTGAATGATTCTGCATCTGCAAATTGGTTTCCATGGTCAAACATGAAAAGGATAACAAAGCTATGGGGTTTGTTCTGTGACTGTGGAGGTTTTCTGTCTTACGAAGCGGGTCATGAATTGGGGATGCTGACTGGTAGAATCTGCGCGTGCGGCACTTGTGCTCATGCAAGAGAGATGATATGTTTCATCTCGGGTTCATGGGTGGGGGTTGTGTGTAGGGAGACGAGGCGTGGCGCCGAGATGGATTTTTTAGGAGGCCATAGTCATATTTAGATGTAAGAACCGGTCATCTTTTCTGTAAGCATGGGTCGACAAGGCCATTTCGTGAGTTTCATGTTCATGGTTAAGATCTCTGCTGCTGTGCCAAAACACAGGATTAGCATTCTGGAAGGTGGGGAAAAGTTGAATTTAGTAGGAATAACCTGCTATCCTGCTTGCATTCTCTTGATTTATTTTTAGAGCTCGGAGAAACAAGATCAGAAACAAGATTCCTACACGTTAACTGTCTTTACCTAAATTGTATGAATGTACTGAAATGTCATACATGGGTTATTCCTTAAATAATTCTTGGGGTTCTAGAGGTATTTCCACCCTTCCCCAACGCATATGTTGCTCGTTTACAGGAACTCCAGGAACAACCTACAGCACGTCCAGATGATCGACCCAAATCAGAGGAGTCGAAGGGAAGCATTGGGGCGGAGGAGGAGGAGGAGGAGGAGGAGGACGGGAAGGCAGAAGGGGGAGAAGACGGATCGAAGAAAGAGGGAGGAGACGGTGGGAAGGAGGGTGGTGGACACGCCCCCCGGCCGAGTCTGGGGCTCAGCCGACAGAAGGTGGAGGAGGAATGGGCGAAGGCGAAGCGGGACCTGGAGACCGACGACGACCTGGACGAGCTGGCCGACCGTCCCTCCGGTGAGTGCGGACTCCCGCCGGTGTTTACCGACGGTGCTCCCACTGTAAAATGTGACGCTCGTTTTTCGATCCCGTTGGGTCGTAGATCTGAAGAAGATGGGAGAGTCGCGTCGACAGTCGTTCGGGGGATTCCTCAGGCCCGCGGCTTACCACGGGATGACTCCCTCACGAGCTTCTTTCCCGCCTGCAGTGGGAACTCTTCCGGAGATGTCCATGCATCAGCACGCGATGCTGAGGAGAGGAAATTCTGCCGAGGGAATCACCCACCCGCGACTTCCCACCACCCACTTCTTCGACGCTTCCAAGACGTTCGCTCACGAGACCCTCAGGCGTGCGCGCTCCCTCCGATCTCAGGTTGGCGACCGTGTCTGCCTGCGGGTCGGTGGTGCAGATCTCCATTTCAGCCTTTAATCGATCGTTCGAACGCGATAGGGGTCGAGAGAGAAGCCGCCGAGTCTTTCGTCGCATCACTCACCCGGAGATGCGTTCTCGCATCATCATCATCATCATCAGGTCGTGCCCCTGGCCAGCAACGGGAACGTTCGTTGCGGTTCTCTGGATTCCCTCAGGGAAGCGTACGACAAGGACAAGCTCCCCGACACCAAGGAAGAAGGTATGGAACGGATTTCGCAATCTCCCTATTTATCTTTCCGAGAGGAGGGGTGGGGGGAAGAAGCTCAGACGATTGAGAAAAAGTATGGTACGAGTTGGTGCTCCGCCTTTCAGCCCGGCGCAGGCTGAGTAGTAGCCTGAGGGCGCGTGTCATGGCTCACCTGCATCAATGGTAGGGGGCCTGCCCGGGTCAAGGGTCGCGATCGGGGGAGAATCTCCACTTCCAACCGCATTCTGTGATAGGGAAAGGTATCCGTCGAAAAGCAAATACCGTTTTGGGTGTCGACTAACGTGTGATCTTGGCCGACGCGGCGGAACTAACACGAATGCGTATGCGTAGGCGATGTCGTGTTGTGCATGCATCTCTCGAGTGTGAGTGGTTGTTTTTTTTTTCAACGAACGGTAGCGAAGATTTAGTTGCGACAGTCGTCGACTTAGAGATCTCTGAGTGATCGATGCCAGGAATGCGTTGCTTGTGTTTTTTTTTCGTCCGATGACAAAATATCGCATCGTAAGGTACATACCCCTCGAGCAGAGCAATGCGGGCCGACGGCAGAGAACCGGCCCGTGAAGCGTTTCCGCGATTGAGATCCGTTCCTACTTGCGTGTTGCAGCTAGCGATTTGATGCGCAGCATCACTGCCTCCTTGGAGCAGCGCCTGAAGGATCTCAGGGACCGTGGGAGGGAGAAGAGATCGGCAGAAGGAGAGAGCGAGAAGAGGGGGAACGAAGAAGTACCGATGGAGAAGGAGGAAGAGGAAGGGGGGAGGGGAGGCAGGGCGATGGAGGAAGAGTGTAAGAGAGAAGGCAGAGACGAGGAAGGAGAATCGTTTCAGGATCCCAGTCTCCACCGTCTGCGTTCTCCACCTGCCGTCCCTGTGCGCGATCCGCGTTCCAGAGGCTGTGACGCTTCCAGATGTTCCCTCCCGGCCACAATGGGTCTTTCACCCGTACCACCGAGCGTAAGGAAGCTCTGACTGTTTCATCAGCTCGGTTCAATGTATCCGGTTTCAGCGATTCCAATCGATGGAGTGTCTTCTCTCTTGTGTGGCTTTTCCTGTCGTTTTTGCTTCGACATTCTCGTTTCGACTTTTTCGCTGGTCGAGTACCATTAATCTAGTACGGTGAATTATTTCGTGGATGTGGGAAAGAGTACCCGATGGTCTTACCGAACGTTTGCTTCGCTGTGGTCTTAAACTCATCGGAGAGGAAGTGCTGCGCCTGTCACGATCCCCGATTCGTGATCACGAAACAGGATATTATAATGATATTACTGGTATATTCATGATTATTGAATGATTCTGCATCTGCAAATTGGTTTCCATGGTCAAACATGAAAAGGATAACAAAGCTATGGGGTTTGTTCTGTGACTGTGGAGGTCTTCTCTTTGAGTTTTCTGTCTTACGAAGCGGGTCATGAATTGGGGATGCTGACTGGTAGAATCTGCGCGTGCGGCACTTGTGCTCATGCAAGAGAGAGGATATGTTTCATCTCGGGTTCATGGGTGGTGGTTGTGTGTAGGGAGACGAGGCGTGGCGCCGAGATGGATTTTTTTAGGAGGCCATAGTCATATTTAGATGTAAGAACCGGTCATCTTTTCTGTAAGCATGGGTCGACAAGGCCATTTCGTAAGTTTCATATTTATGGTTAAGATCTCTGCTGCTGTGCCAAAACACAGGATTAGCATTCTGGAAGGTGGGGAAAAGTTGAATTTAGTAGGAATAACCTGCTATCCTGCTTGCATTCTTGATTTATTTTTAGAGCTCGGAGAAACAAGACCATGAAGATTCCTACACGTTAACTGTCTTTACCTAAATTGTATGAATGTACTGAAATGTCATACATGGGTTATTCCTTAAATAATTCTTGAGTTTCTAGAGGTATTTCCACCCTTCCCCAACGCATATGTTGCTCGTTTACAGGAACTCCAGGAACAACCTACAGCACGTCCAGATGATCGACCCGAATCAGAGGAGTCGAAGGGAAGCATTGGGGCGGAGGAGGAGGAGGAGGAGGAGGAGGACGGGAAGGCAGAAGGGGGAGAAGACGGATCGAAGAAAGAGGGAGGAGACGGTGGGAAGGAGGGTGGTGGTACCCCGGGGAAGAGGAGGCCGTCGAGGATCCCCGTGCTGGGACGCGGGGGGATCGGGATCCAGCGGTCGGACTCCTTCGGGAAGACGACGGCCGTGAGCGTGAAGACGGCTGCGAACCTCATCAGCCTGCTGTCGCAGGGCGGGGGAGGGAGGAGGAGGCCCGCGGAGCACGCGGTGAAGCTGGACGCGAAGACGAGCGTGAAGGAGCTGAGGGAGAAGTTCGAGAAGGGGGTCGCGGCGGGGAACCCGGGGAACAACAAGAGCAAGAGCAGCAAGAAGGCCCAGCGGCGGGTGAAGCGGCGGCACACGGTCGGGGGGACGAAGGACTTCGAGGTCCTCCGACGGCTCTTCCAGCACGCATACGCCACGTCCCGCAAGACGTGGGAACCGGATCAGGGACTCAAGGCGTGGCTGAGTCGGGAGCAGATGCGGACCAGTTCCCCCGAGCTCAGCCCCAAGGGTTACAACAGGTGGCAGGAGCGGATCCTCCAGCGGGACGGTTTCCCCCAGCGGGACGGTTTTCCTCAGCGGGACCCTTTTCCCCAGCGGGACGCTTTTCCTGCCGCCTTCCTCTCCATCCCCGTGGAATCCAAAGTCTGAACCGAGGGGGGTTCGTCGTCTTTTCCGCCGCCGATTTTGGGTTCGGGGATACGTGGTCTTTCATGGAATATGTCTTCGTTCCCATTGCTCAATTTATTGTTGACAGAGAGAGAGAGAGAGAGAGAGAGAGAGAAAAAGAAGTATTTTGGATCGCGATGCTAGTCGGATGGTGAGAATCCTATATTTTCGTCCGCACAAGGGACTCGTGTGAATCCCGTGCAGGGATGCCGACAAAAAAGAGGGACTCGTCTCATCTCTCGTTCGTTGTCCCCCTCTTGCACACCGCCTGATGTTTTTTTTTTCTTCATGTGAGACACAGCCTTGTAAAATCTGTTTCTTTTTCTTTTTTTTTAAAAATAAATATCGAGTCATAGTTGACCATGAGATCGGTGTGACTTCATTCGCGGCGTCAGCCGTGACGGCATCTTTGCTGACTCGTTTGTCCTCGTCGATTGCCTCAATAATGTAGCACGATTTTCCATCAGACACAAAAATCGCAGGGCAGATAACTTTTTTTTTTTTTTTAAATTGGACATGTTGGAAATTCTGTGTTTTACTGTAAAAAAAAATTAACCCAGTCCATTCATTCACAAGACAAAAACTTTATGTGCTATTTTACTCTTTCTGGGAGACAGAAACGCCGCACGGGAACACCAGGTATCACGCGCTTAAACAAGCTTGAGTAATGGTTCCAAAATTCAACACAATTTTTCAGATTTTTGTAGCCTCTCACCTTTGAATGGGAAGGTGCAAGGGACGTAATGTTATCATGATCTTTTATTTATTCGGGTGTGTGTTGACCATGTATTTTTGAACTTGTAGCTGGAAAAATATTTGCACACTCGGGTTTGCGAGCACAGACGAGTCATTGGGGGCGTATTCACTTGTTCCATTGCAATCTGCCCTTGACAAATTCCAGATGGGAGCCCTTCGTACTGTCATTTCGCCTCATGTCTGAAAGAAGAAAATTACCTTTCTTGTGTTTGCATAATATTATATCACAAGAAAAAATATAGTGGAACGGGAATATTTTTTGCGGTTCTCAGTATTCCCTCAGGGAAGCGTACAAGGACAAGCTCCCTGAGACCAAGGATGAAGTTACGGAGGGGATTTCGCAATCGTCCTAGTTTTCTTTCCGAGAGGAGGGGGGAAGCTCGGACGAATTAGAAAAAATATGGTACGAGTTGGTGCTCCGCCTTGAAGCGAGCGATTTGATGCGCAGCATCACTGCCTTCTTGGAGCAGCGCCTGAAGGATCTCAGGGACCGTGGGAGGGAGAAGAGATCGGCAGAAGGAGAGAGCGAGAAGACGGGGAACGAAGTGCCGAGGGAAAAGGAGGAAGAGGAAGGGGGGAGGGGAGGCAGGGCGATGGAGGAAGAGACTAAGAGAGAAGGCAGAGAGACAAGACGGAGAGACGAGGAAGGAGAATCTTTTCAGGATCCCAGTCTCCACCGTCTGCGTTCTCCACCTGCTGTCGCTGTGCGCGATCCGCGTTCCAGAGGCTGTGACGCTTCCAGATGTTCCCTCCCGGCCACAGTGGGTCTTTCACCCGTACCACCGACCGTAAGGAAGCCCTGACTGTTTCATCAGCTCGGTTCAATGTATCCGTTTTCCGTGATTCCAGTCGATGGAGTATCTTCTCTCTTGTGGCTTTTCCTGTCGTTTTTGCTTCGACATTCTCGTTTCGACTTTTTAACTCTGAACGAGTGCCATTAAACTTGTATCTCTTGTATCACCCACGGTCACTCGGGGAGACTGGACACCTCGCTGCCCCGTCCGGCCGCAGCCTTCAACGTTGCCATTGCTGGAACTCACTCGAGAGGGGCATCTTTATCTCTGCAGCTGTGCTACTCTGGTATCCTCTGCAGCTCTGAATGAACACCCTTGGATAGATCTTGGATGTGACTCGAGGGTTTGTCCAGCCAATTGTTCAACAAGATAAGGAAACAGCCAGAAGTCCCAAGGGACTAGATGTGTGCTATGGCTCCCATAGCTCAGAAATAGACCCTTGGGACTTGTGGCTGTTTCCTTATCTTGTTGAATAGCTGACTGGATCATCCTTCAGTCACATCCAAGATCTGTCCAAAGCTGTTAATTCAGAACTGCAGTGGCTACTCAAAGCAGATGCTGACACCTTCCAGAAGCGGCTTCACCACTTGGGTCGGTGTGTGTAATCACAGGGTGAATACTTTGAAGGGTTAAAGTATTAACATTTTGCAACTTCCACGTATGCTTTCGGTAATATCATAGTTTCAAGAACTTTTTGAATACCCTTTGTAATTTCTTTTTTTGCTTGCCCTGAGTTTACTCTTTGTTGGTTGAATTTTCCTTTCTGGAATGGAAATGCAAAACCCCAGCTGGGTCAAAGTCTTTCCCTCAGGCCATTTCTGACATGATCTCCGGTAGAACTTGAGCCTTACTTCATCACGGTTGGTTTCATATATCTTCCTGTGAACCGAGTCTGTGGACAACAACCATGGACGAAGGCGCAGCAGCAGTCGGTTGCGAGATGGGACCCGATGATGCCCACGATGGGCAGTTCTCTTTTCATGAAGTGTGTGACGTACACGTATTTTTCGATCGCTTCCGGCAGCGTGCTGGTGATAGATCCTGGAAGCAAGTCTATGCCGTCATTCGAACGTACCTGCTATACTTCCAAAAAGAAAGACGAGAGGGATCCCAGGTCTGCACCTTTTCTCACGAACTGGATCACGATCGGAAATCCATTGCATTGTCGTGTTGTAAAATGCATCAGTTGCAGAGCCCGATGAGCGTGGAGGAATATCCCTGGGATCTCCGCGGAAGTCACCCCCGGAAGTGGCTTCGGACTACACGAAGAAGAAGAACGTCGTCCGCCTCCATCTGGCGTCCGGCTCGGAATTCCTCTTCCAGGCCGACACTAGTCAAGACATGAATCTCTGGCTCGGTGCCTTTGCATCTGCCGCTGCGATGAAGCCGGTCCGTCCCTCTCACGAGACCGAGTCCGAAACGATTGTGGATTCTCGAAAGGGTGAAATGTCGACTTGGATGCATCCACAGGATCCTTCCACGGGAGAGGGTTTCGCGTCGGGAGCGGACGAGACGGGAGAAGGCCAGGGGAACGAGCGAGCGTCGCCTCCACCCCCGGGCGCCACCAAGAGTCTTCATCGCAAACTCGCCTCTCTGCGCAATCGATCTCCGTCGGGTCAGCCCCCCGCTCCCAAGTCTCGAAAGGCCGTTCAGATCCGTGAGTCGTGGGAGGAGTTCGCCTCTCGAGTTTTTGGATTCCGCGATCGATGTCTCCGTGACCCCGGAACGTCTGTCCAGCCGGAGCGGGTGGGAACGTGCCCGAATTGGCCAGTCCCAAGTCCAAGACGTGGCGAGGCAGGGTCGCGAGGCACCTCAAGAAGATGCATCCGAGCCAAGGAAGCCAGTCCCAATCTCAGTCCCAGACGCCCGTGTCCTTCCCAGAGGGAGCCACCATCGGTGTTCCCCTGGAACTCTGTTCTATGGTACCGTCGATTTCTTCGCCGAAGACTGTGTTTTCGATCGAAGGGTTCTCGGTCGCTTCTTCGAGAGACGTTCTTTTAGCGGACACTTCCACTGCCCAGTGTCCAGTCGAAGAAATGTCCTTTGAAGAAGTGACCTGGAACCGATCGGTGTCCGGTACGCTGTGATGTCCTGTTTTTTTTGCGTTTCAGTCACCCCGAAACGAATGCGTACCTGCCGTGGTGGAATTCTGCACGAGCATCGTGGAGTTGAAGGGTGGGAATGCGGTCGGCCTCTATCGAGTACCTGGAAATTCTGCAGCCGTCGCCTCTCTCACGGAGGCCGTGAACCGAGGCTTCGAGAATCTCGACATCCAGGTAGGATCGTGTCTTCCGATCGCGAGGCGAAGAAGACGATCTCTGTGTGCTCCTCACGCGGTTTCGTGCCGTTTTTTTTTTTATCCCCGAGAGCAGCAAGATCCTCGGTGGACCGACGTGAACGTGATCTCGAGTCTTCTCAAGTCTTTCTTCCGGAGGCTTCCCGAACCCGTGGTGACCGCCGAGCTCTATCCGTCGTTCATCGCCGCCTGCAAGCTGGAAGACATCCGGGAGAGATACATCACCATCAAGAAATTGGTAAGATTCTCTCGCTTCTCGCGTTTCCTTTTTGTATTCTCTGCTCTCACGAGCGTCTTCTCGCGCGTTCCCCTCCCTTCCCTCCCAGCTGCGGGAACTCCCCGAGGTGAACTACGAGACGCTGCGCCATCTGTCCCTGCATCTCCAACGGGTGTCGGGGAACCAGGCCACCAACAAGATGGATCCCAGGAACCTGGCCATCGTCTTCGGGCCGAACCTCATCCGCCCGATGGAGGAAGACATGGTCACCATGGTGAACGACATGTCTCAGCAGTGCAAGATCGTCGAGACCCTCGTCTTGCACGTGAGTTCCCGTCTCCCTTCGGTCTCGTCCGTGCGTGCAGCTGCCGCGTGCGTGAAAGACGTGCCGTGCTGTCTTTGGGCGACAGGCGAACTGGTTCTTCGACGACGCCGAAGAAGTGACTCTGGACGGCCTGCCGAAGGATGCCGTGGAGAGGAAGGAGGAGCTGGACTCGCCTTCTGCCACCCCCAATCATTCCCTTCTCCTCAACAATCTTTCCAAGATCGAAGGTGAGTCTTTTCTGGTTGGGAGCTTTCTGTCGACTCGAGAAACCCGGTGGCTAATACGGTAGAAGTCTCGCGTTGGACTTGCAGAGCTGACGACTCCCTCCGATGTATGTGCCAAAGATGTCGTGTCCTCGATCATCACCGCAGCCAATAGGAAGTCCAAAACCTCTGTGGGCACAAGAATCATCACTCACGTCCCTTCGGGTCCCATAAAAGTGATACCCAGGTCCCAGATGGAGAAGGTGAGACTCGTGACACGCGCAGTTCGTTCTCGACGGAACGGAGCGACGCGTGATTTACCAACCCTGGTCTGGTCTCACAGATGGAAGAGGCCGTGATGGACATGACCGCACCGGCGGCGGCAAAGCCCGCGGAGAAGGAAGAGAAGCGCGACCCCAAAGACGCGGACCCGTGGAGATACTCCGAGGTGACGGCCAGGACGCACGAACGCGTGAGGCGGTTCGAAGAGGAGACCCGGGCGATGCTGGAGCACGCCCCCCGGCCGAGTCTGGGGCTCAGCCGACAGAAGGTGGAGGAGGAATGGGCGAAGGCGAAGCGGGACCTGGAGACCGACGACGACCTGGACGAGCTGGCCGACCGTCCCTCCGGTGAGTGCGACTCCCGCCGGTGTTTACCGACGGTACTCCCACGGTACCGATTCGATCCGACTCGATCCCGTTCGGCCGTAGATCTGAAGAAGATGGGAGAGTCGCGTCGACAGTCGTTCGGAGGATTCCTCAGGCCCACGGCGTACCACGGGATGACTCCCGCACGAGCTTCTTTCCCGCCTGCAGTGGGAACTCTTCCGGAGATGTCCCTGCATCAGCACGTGATGCTGAGGAGAGGAAATTCTGCAGAGGGAATCACCCACCCGCGACTCCCCACCACCCACTTCTTCGACGCTTCCAAGATGTTCGCTCACGAGACCCTCAGGCGTGCGCGCTCCCTCCGATCTCAGGTTGGCGACCGTCTGCCTGCCGTCGGTGATGCAGATCTCGTTTCGGCCTTTAATCGATCGTTCGAACTCGGTAGGGGTCGAGAGAGAAGCCGCCGAGTCTTTCGTCGCATCACCCACCCGGAGATGCGTTCTCGCATCATCATCATCAGGTCGTGCCCCTGGCCAGCAACGGGAACGTTCGTTGCGGTTCTCTGGATTCCCTCAGGGAAGCGTACGACAAGGACAAGCTCCCCGACACCAAGGAAGAAGGTATGGAACGGATTTCGCAATCTTCCTATTTATCTTTCCGAGAG